CTTCGTCTGACATACTTTGGGCATGTTGCAAGGAGGGACTGGTCCTTGAAGAGGGACATCATGTTTGGGAAAGTGGAAGGACGGCTCAGGAGAGGAAGACCCTCGATGAGATGGATCGATTCTGTGAGTGGAGTGGTGGGAATGAGTGTGTTTGAGATGGCAAGGTTGGCACAGGATAGGACGGTGTTTAGGGCTCTTGTACATAGGGTCGCTATGAGTGGCAAGCGACTCGATGGCACAATAACATAACGTAATAATCTAAACTATTGAAAACATCAGATGTCCAACAACAGTTTCCAGTTAATTGCAGTACAACTATAAAATAGATTGGTTTGGGCCATTACAATATTTTTGATGAGGCAGTAGGAGGAATTTAATGCTTAAGGTATTATGGGGCTTCAAATCAAGAGAAGGAAAAAAAAAGATGTGTACATTATTATCCCTACTGTCTTTCTAATTGGAAGGAGGAGTGGCATCCAATTCCATAATAGCTTGCCTCTGGAAAACCTATGAACCTGGAGAGAGGAGGAAAGGCACCCAAGCATTGAGGACTCTCCTTCATAGGGTCACTATGAGTCACCTGCGACTCGACGGCACTTAACAACAACAACAACATGTCTTTCTAAAATGCTTAGAAAATGTTATAGGGACAACCAAATTGTTAACAGTGGTGTCTTTGGCCTCCACTATTATGTGTGAGTAATGTTTTCTTCTTTAAACATTTCTGTCATACTACTATTTTGGGAGCTGTGGTAGCCTATTGGATGTGGACTTGCACTGCCATTCAAAGGCAGATAGTTTGAATCTACTGTTTACAGACTCTGAAAACCCATTGAAAGATCACCTGTGAGTCAGTTCTGACTTGACAGCACATAACAATACTTTTTCCCCCACATTTTCTCTAATAATCATTCAATAATTTTGTAAATACAAACTTTATTGAAATAAAAATATGAAAAGTGATTGGAGAGGGATGATGATGCCTTAACCTTCATCTTCACTGATAGCTTACATTTCTGAACTTATCCTATGGTTTTCATGAGTGAGGAAGGCACAGAAAATCAGTTATTTTGTGTGAAATATGGATTTGTAAAGAGTGGCTTCATCTCCAAGTTAGAGGACAAGCTGTAGACTCAGGGCTCCTCCAGCCTCTATTGCCAGGGAGTCTTATTGTTTTTAATTGCTTTCATGTTGTGTTCCATTCAGTGCCTTTTGCTGCATTTCCTGGTCAGGGCAGTGGTGGTACTAGCCTAGAGGCAATCTAATTTTTATCTCAGGCTGTAGAAGCTGTGCTTCTTGTGAGCTTGCCAATTGCTTCCTTCAGTTTTCTGTTTTCTTCATTCTCCTTTACTACAGATGGGAAAGATCAGTAGTCACATCTTAGATGGCTGCTTGCAAACTTTAAGACCCTAAACACTACTCGCCAAACTAGGACCTGGAATGCCTCTATGCCAGGTGACACTAGATGTCCCTCAAGATTTTGGTCCTTAGCCTTCAAACTCAGTAGCTCAGTCTACTACCAAGAGATATTGAGTTGTGTATAAGAAGTTCCTGTAACTGTTCCTTGAGGTACTTTATATATATGAATGTACTTGTAGCACTTAATATATATTCATGTACATGTATCCTCTGCTGTTGCTATATGTGCACACAAGTATACTCCTGTACAGTAGCCACACATGTCTTTATGTCTGGTTACAGATTATTTTTTGTTATTATTGTTGTTCTGTGGGATGTTTTTATTGTTTTTGTTTCTACTTTTTTAAAAATATACTGGTTTGTTTACAAAGTTCTTATACATTGTTTTTCACACTGGCTTTTTCCCATTTGCTTCATCCACCTCTCCCTCCACCCATCAAATGGTGCTATAATTAACCACCCTGCCCCTCACCCATATTCATCCCTCTACTCCAACCCTCCACCCCCTTGGATCCTCATACTTTTTCTACAATTAATAGTCTTATACAATATTTGTCTATATGAGACTGAGTTAGTTTGACTTAGCATAAAGCTCTCTGGTCCCTCCCAAGTTAGGTAGTAATGTACAAAATCATTGCTGCTGAATGCTACATAGTATTCTGTCATGTGAATGTACCATAATTTCTCAATCCATTTGATTCTCCCAGACCTTTATACTCCCCAGTGTCCCATCCCTGCTGCCTTGTTTCCCAAGGCCTGCCATAGTCTCTCACTGCACCCCTCCTCCTCACTTCTTCCACACATCCCCCACAGCTCTTCCCACAACCTGTTCTTTGTTGTTGTTTGTTGTTATGTGCCATCGAGTTGCTTGTGACTCATAGCAACCCTATGTACAGCAGCCCTAAACCCTGCTCTATCCTGTGCCAGTCGCACTGCCTCTGACACACCTATCCTGATTAGCCCTGCAGTCCTTGACCCTCTGCAGCAAGCATTTCAGGTCCTCCTCAGTTTCAGCAAGCAGGGTTGTGTCATCTGCATAACACAGATTGTTAATAGATCTTCCACCAATCCTGATGTCACAATTCTCCTCATAGAGCCCAGCCTCTCTGATAATCTGTTCTGCATACAGATGACACAACCCTGCTCACTGAAACTGAGGAGGACCTGAAGCAGAGGGTCAAGAACTGCAGCCTTCAGTAAGGATTGAAGCTCAATATCAAGAAGACAAAAGAATCTCACCGCTGGGCCAGTTGGCAGCATCAGTATGGATGGTGAAGAGATTGAGATCGTTAACAGTTTTAGTTTGCTTGGCTCCACAGTCAACACTCTTGGTAACAACAGCCAGGAAATCAGGAGACAAATTGCATTGGGAAAGTCGGCTGTGAGGGACCTCTCAAAAGTACTGAAGTGCAACAGCGTCAGGCTGGAAACTAATGTGCGCGTGATCCAGGCTATAGTCTGCAATTACGTGCTATGCATCAGAGAGTTGGACAGTGAATAGGGACGATAGAAAGATAATTGATGCCTTTGAGCTGTGGTGCTGAAGAAGAGTGTTGAATATACCATGGACTGCTAGGAGAACAAACATGTTTGTCCTGAAGAAGGTGAAGCCAGAATGTTCCCTGGAGTCAATGATTCTGAAGCTTCGTCTGACATCCTTTGGGCATGTTGCAACGAGGGATTGGTCCTTGGAGAGGGACATCATGTTTGGGAGAGTGGAGGGATGGCACAGGAGAGGAAGACCCTCAATGAGATGGATCGATTCTGTGAGTGGAGTGGCGGGAATGAATGTGTTTGAGACAGCGAGGTTGGCACAGGATAGAACGGCATTTAGGGCTCTTGTACATAGGATCGCTATGAGTTGCAAATGACTCGATGGCACACAACAACAACAACAACAACAACATACAGGCTGAAAAGGTATAGAGATAGAACACATCCCTGGCGTATGCAATTCCCAGTTTTGAATCATGCAATATTTCTTTGCTCTGTTCTCTGCCTCTTGGTCCAAGTATAGGTATCGCATTAGAATGATCAAGTGTTCTGGGATTCCCATTCTTCTCAGAGTCAGCCACAGTTTGTTAGGATCCACACAGTCAAATGCCTTTGCATAATCAATGAAACAGATATGCATTCTTCTAGTATTCCCTGCTTTCAGCTAAGATCCATGTAACATTAGCTACAATATCCGTAGTACCACGACCCCTTCTAAACCCAGCCTGGACTTCTGACAGTTCTCTGCTGATGTGCTGTTCCAGTAATTTTTGGATAGTCTTCAGTAGAATCTTGCTTGTGTGTGAAATCAATGATATTGTTATATAATTTCCACACTCTGTTGGGTCATCCTTCTTTGGGATGGGAACAAATATAGATCTCTTCCAGTCAGTTGGCCAAGTGGTTATTCTCG